ATGCGGATGGAGGATGTTTGATCGCAGTTGTGGCTAGAGTTCGTGTGAGATGGATGAAATTTAGGGAACTGGGTGGGGTATTGTGTGGAAATAAATGGTCAGTGAAGATGAAAGGGAGGGTATATAAAGCATGTGTGAGAGCAGTGATGGTATATGGTGGTGAAACTTGGATGTTGAGGAGAGAGGAGGAAAGTGTACTGCAGAGGGCTGAAAGAGCTATGGTGAGGATGATGTGTGGGGTTAAAGTGAAGGATAGGAGGAGTAGTACAGAGCTGATGTCAATGATGGGACTGAATGAATACATTGTGACATTGATAAGGAGATCGAGATTGCGGTGGTATGGACATGTGTTGAGAAGGGATGAAAGGGTCGGGATTAGGCGAGCGTTGGAGTTCGAGGTTGAAGGAGTGGTAGGAAGGGGTCGTCCGCCGCGATTGGGATGGAGAGAGCAGGTGGAGAAGGACAGCGTGAAAGCGGGGTTGTGTGATACTGAGGCGAGTGACAGATGTGGATGGCGTCGAGGGGTATTTCGGTTTCATCATAGGTAGCCAAACGGCAACCCTCGATCTCGGGGAAAATGCCGTCTAAACGTGTGTTGTTGTTGTTGTATTATTACTTTTTGTGATATTATAATTGTTTATTTATTTAATTATTTATTAATTTCACATTGTCTTTGTCATATTTCTTATATTTTCAGATGGCAAATCTTCGAAAGATACTAACAGCTCTAAGGGGAATACAAAAATCAGTTTCTCACTAGCTGATTCGCCTGCTGTTAAGCCTAAGAAGCTGGAGGGTGCATTAGGGGGTATCGTGGGTTAGTTTTGTCTGCTTGAATATAAACTTAACAGTTGAAATTTTCTGTAAATTATCTTACCAAATGTACATTTGATGAAATTAAATTTTTTTGATTTTTTATTAATTTATTTTTAAATATTTTTTTTACAGCCTATGGTTCTGACAGTGAGGAGGACAGCGAGACATGACAGTGAAGTATTGGGGTGATGATTTCATTTCATTGCACCGCGCTATACGACATTTAACTTTAAAACATTTTACTGTGTATGGACGGTATATACATTTTAATGTACGTTTGCAACGTATGTATGCCTGCCGGAATCAATTTATGTTGTTTACATAGTTTAGTGTATCTGTATGCATGTCTGCAAGTATGTATGTGTTTATTTAAGTCATTGGCGTAGCCAGGGGAAACAGAGGAGGCTGTCCATTTACCTCGGGCAACACATTTTCTGAGTGGCATTTTTCAAATTTTGTATTTGGTAGAAGATTCACAAAAGTTTTTGTTGCTCCACTGAGGTAAGAAGTTCTGACAGTACAAACGCGCACGAGCTTCGTTTAATATTTAAAATCAAAATTTTCCTATAGTGATTTTATTAAATTGAACGTTCGCCCTAACAAAATGTGGTGGCGGCTTCCAAACTCCTTGGATACGTCTCCCTTTCTCTCTCTCTCTCTCTCTCTCTCTCTCTCTATATATATATATATATATATATATATAGTTTTAATTTTTTTATCTATCATCTTTGTTTTTTTTTCAATTGGGACATGTGTTTGTGAGAAAAGATATTTTTGTTTCAAGTTTTTAGCTGATTGTTTTTATTGGAAATTTTGCTGTATGAAATGTTTTACAACTGAAAATAATTTGGTTTCTTTCTTTACAAAATTGACTTAAATAAATAGTTCTACAACAAGGGTGACTGTCAATGCGTTGTTTTCTTTTCTGCCAAAGTGAATGTTATATTAACGTAATAAACTCACGTCAATGTTTAATTTTTATTTTTTAAGTTTTATTAAAACTGTTTGGAGCTGTTCTGTAACAAAATTTGTCAAAACTTTTATTGAGTTTTATTTAATGTAATTTCGAACGACTTAACGCTGATGACTACCGAGTTAATACTAAATGCATTATCCGCCTACCGGTTTGATACATAACTGAACTTGGACGAACGACTGGAATGTGCTTTCAGTCAGGTCGACGTTACTGTTTAAGTGCTATAATTCAACTCCGATGTTCGAGCTCCATGCGATATAATTAATAAAATGTAAGATATTATGACATTCTTTGCTTTTTTTAAATATTGGCCTAAGGTTAATAATTCTGCATGCATTTCATGACCATTCCTTAATTTTTGTTTTTGGAAAGCAAGAAACTTTGGAACAGGTTTTATAAACTAAAGTTAACTATTTTTATTGTGTTAAAATTTATTGAATTTAATATGAGCCCGAAAGGTACTATCTCTAATTGCGAAAAATTAACATTTGGAAGTGTGTTGCCGCTCAAACACTGGCACAGTATTTCCTGTCTAAATGGTTGTTGCTCAAAGTCTGAAGATAAATCGGAAGAGATGAAAATAGGTTATTATGTTGCCTGCAAAAATTGCGATATATGCGGCAAAAATGTTGGCAAGAAATACTGCGTTGTTTGTCAGCAACTCTTCTGCTTTCACTGCCTAGACTTTCACAACAAAATTAATGTCGCTATGTTGCATGAAGTGGTTGACTTTGATACACCTCGTTACACGGATGCCTTGAAGAAGGTTCGATATAAAGTTTGCACCTCTCATGGTCAGGATATAGACCACCATTGCGCAAGTTGTGAGGCTTTCATTTGCTCGAAATGTTTCATTCAGAAGCACCAAAGCCATGATATTCTCACTATTGAGTCAAAAGTTGAAGATTACAAAGAGACTATCGAATCATTGATTGAACAATTTCAAAATGCTCTTGATAAAAATATAAAAAATCTTGAAATTTTCGATAAAAATGAAATTAGTCTGGATAAAGAGGAATCATCTATTATATCTCAAATCAACGCTAACACCGATTATGTGAAAAACAGATTGGACAAATACTCAAAAATCTTAATAAACAGGGTCACAAATTTATACACGGAGTTAAAAACTGAAAGAGACAACTTTTATAACTCGAATGTAGAGAAACAGGAGTCCATGAAATCGAATATAAAATTATTGAAGAAAACATTGGAAGAGTTAAACGTTGCATCTGTGACAGAAGCGCAAACCTACAGCACAGATGCTCCGAACTGGGAGGCATTCAAATCTAAATGTGACAGTGTAGATTCCATTCTTCCAGATTCCATATATTCCAAGAAAACACTTCCTGAGACACTGCTTGAAGCCACAAATGTTGTGTATGAACTCATAAGCACTGTGAATATTTAGCTTATCTAATGGTAATGGTAATGTAACACGATACAAGATGCTTATAGAACAAGATACAAGATACTTATAGAACGTATATATTGTGATTGTGTTTGTTTGTGTGTGTGTGTGTGTGTGTGTGTGTGCCTGTGTGTGTGTTGTAGGTGTGTGTGGGTTAAGTGAATTGATTGAATTTCAGAGATTTTATTTTAATTTTGCTCAAAATCTCAACTTTAAAAATATTATTTTGTGACCTTGTATTTTTTAATGTCTGCTACATGACGCATATTTATTTATGTTTCTAATAAAATGTATTAAATGTGTTAAGCATTGTTAATAAGTATTTTCGGATTTTTTTACTGGTTTCTACCAAATCAATAAAATGACACACACACACAAATACACGCGCGCACACACACAGACACGAATACACGCGCACACACACACACAATGTAACATTTATATACCCCCTACAATCAACGAGGAAATGAAGAATAAGAATAATAATAAATGACAAAAATAATAAAATAACAAAAATAATATTAACCAACAAGATCTAAAAAAACAACAACGAAAACAATTAATGTAATAGTAACAACAATAACAACAATATTAATAATATTAACAATAATAAATAGCAGTAGAGCGATTATTCAAATCAATCCATTCACTTGCTACCTGCTATTAAAGCTATGTATTATATATATATATATATATATATATATATATATATATATATATGTATGTGTGTGTATGTATGTATGCATGTATGTATATGTGTGTATACATTTATAGGCATACATATACGTATATACATGTTAACATGGTATTTGGTAGAAAAAAATGTATTTAAATGAAATGAATTTTAATGGATGTCGCTTTGAACACATACACACACACACACACACACACACACACATATATATATATATATATATATATATATATATATATATCAGTCAATTTGCCAAGATTTGTGATAGAATCTTCATTTATGAGGCACAGTCATTAATAATACACAACATAAGTAGGTACTGTCGAATCGTTGCACTTGCAATTTGCATTTGTTTAAAATGTATTTGGGTTAAATTGTGTTGAAATATCATCAAAATATGAATTAAATTATAACATAATTAAATAATTATAACCATAATATAACAGCACTAAAAATATTATTACTATTTACAAAAGAGACTTTGTGTATTGTATATAAACAGAAAATTAGTTTTGGGGTTATTTAAATTTTGTCTAGAATTTATTAATAATAATTATAAATAATTATTTTTACACTTTTTTACTGTAACTGTTAGCATCATCTTCTCTATCTTCATCTTCAACAACATCTTGTTATTATATTAAAATCTCATCGTCGTCGTCTGAATCTCTCAATCATCATTATTGTCATCATCAAGTTTGACATACCATCTAACAAAGTATCATTAAACTCGTGGCTATCCTTTTTTTGTTGAGATATCTATCATCTTCATCATCACCATCCGATAAAGATTATCGTTATCGTCGTGATATCTTGTATCTATCATCATCTGATAAAGACCATTCTGGTGATATTTATCCTCATCCGGTTAACACCATCACATTCATCATCGTTGGGTTTACAGAATAACGAAAAATTTGATAAAACTTGATCAATAATAACACCATTAACATTCTTACTGAAGTTATCAATTTCATTATCATACACTCGTTACTGAATTGTTCTTATCATTTTCAACAACAACAACACAACAACAACATCAACAACAACAACAACGTCTATGTACATCCTCATCATCATCCTTCAAAAACATTATCATCATTAGCACCTACCATCAACATCACGTGACATCAGCTTCAACAACATCACTCTCACAGTTGTCATCAACCACGTCATCATTCTCGAGTTTGTCATCATTATAACTCTTCCCTATTCATCGTTAAACGAGTGAAATTAATAATGTGCCGACAGCAGTTTGATAAGGCGGGTATGAAATTTATGACTGTCGTCCTGGCCACTTTATACGTTGTAAGAATTTTTTCAAATATAATTAACTAATTCATTCATTAATTCATTCATTTGTTAATTCATATATTCATTCATTCATTCATTCGTTCATTCACTCACTCATTCACTCATTCATTCATTCATTCATTCATTCATTCATTCATTCATTCATTCATTCATTCATTCATTCATTCATTCATTCATTCATTCATTCATTCATACCAAATGCCAAACTCACCCCAGATCGCGGCGCTGGTCATGTTAGGATTCGGTATCTCGATACGGGCCACACCGGATAATTTTCTAGCGCATTACACTTACGACGGAGTTGACTTGAGAATTATTCGGGGAGATGCCATGCAGAAAATCGCCGACCTCATGATAGCCGTCGCCTGCTTCACCATTTTGGCGGGCGGTTTTGTGATGTACTCTGTCATACTTGAGAAACCACGCATGCTCAAAATCGTATGTCATCATCATCATTTTATACTTTTATTATTACTATTTATACTTTTATTATTACTATTTATACTTTTATTATTACTATTTATACTTTTATTATTACTATTTATACTTTTATTATTACTATTTATATTTTTATTATTACTATTTATATTTTTATTATTACTATTTATATTTTTATTATTACTATTTATACTTTTATTATTACTATTTATACTTTTATTATTACTATTTATACTTTTATTATTACTATTTATATTTTTATTATTACTATTTATATTTTTATTATTACTATTTATATTTTTATTATTACTATTTATATTTTTATTATTACTATTTATATTTTTATTATTACTATTTATACTTTTATTATTACTATTTATATTTTTAATCAGACTTGGAACTAAATAAATGGACTAACAAATTGATAAATGATTGGAAATGATTTTTATTGATTATTGATTAGTAATATAGCGAGTATTGATTAACTGGCAATAATTTTAAAATATACAGAATATGCTTATCTCGATAAGGCACTCCATAGCACCATTGTGGGAGCATCAAAGCCGTTAAATTAGAACAAACAAAATCATTCAATATAAATATCATTATTATTATCAACATCATATATTTTCACAATTTTACATCAATAATAATAATAATATTTTAATGTTGCTATAGAATGATAATAATAATAATAATAATAATTATTATTATTATTTATTAATATTTATAATTATAGTATTTTTTTTCTACAGAGTTCAATTTTCCTCGCAACCCTCACCCTCATTGACGTCATCCTCATCATCGTCGCCGCTGCCTACCCGCCAAGAGTAATAATAATAATATCAATTATTATTATTATTATTATTATTATTGTTGTTGCTGCTGCTGCTGCTGTTGATGTTATTATTACATTTATGCATTGGCAATAAATTATAATTTAAAAGTAAGTTATATTTAGGTATATATGTATATATTTACACACACACACACACACACACACACACACACACACACACACACATACACACACACACACACACACACACACACACATAATAATAATGATCAATAACATCACAACAAAAATGATGATGGGTTACGGTATGATGCTGATGATGATGATGATAGATCGATTGACTATTTTAAATTTACGAATGCGTAAATGGAAATTTGAATATATGCAAGTCAGCCAGCGTGGGGAACGTGTAATAATATTCACACACACAGACACACACACGCACGCACGCATACACACGCACACACAAACATACACGCATACACAAATATATATAATATATAAATATAGTCATAATTATTATTCCATAATAATTATATTATTATAAAGATCATATTAATATTTCAATAAGGATACCATGGTGAACGATATGAAAGCTACTCTCATCAGCGATTTCAATAGTCAAGGTCACCCAACTATCTGTGTGCGTGTGTGTGTGTGTGCGTGTGTGTGTGTGTGTGTGTGTGTGTGTGTGTGTACGTGTGCGTTGTTCGCACGGGGCTACTGGGAACTTAGCCAAAAATTGTTTCCGCTTAACCCCAAGTTTATAATCTTTAACGTTACGAAATTCATGTTGTGTTATATTTTAGTTACAATGTTGCACATTTTATACGAAAATTTTCAAAAAAAAAACTCCTCAAAGAGTCATTGCCGATACAGACAGTCCCGTCCTTACCGTTATACGTGATATAATAAAATTAGTCATATAACATCATGCTATCACATTATTTTTATTTCATATGACAATGAAATTCCTTCAGATGTCCAGACGAATGGGTCTGTAATCACGTCTCTACCGAAGAATGGCGGGCCTTATTCTTGGGCACACACGCAGATTTATGTAATTTAAATTATTTTATTTTACCTTGTTTTATTTGGTGTCATTCAATCTGAAAAGCAAGCAATCTAATTGGCGTTTTAATTTCTGTATTTCATTTTATTGCTTGTTTAAATTTATTTGACAGTTGCTTGTTATATAATTGTATTATACAGACCCTTGATTAGAGAGCTATCATTAAAAATCTACAAATACAATGACAGACCAACTTTTAAAAAGTTCTGATTTGAAAAACAACGCAGACGAAGTGCTGTGGAGTGGAGGGACCTGCGGATTACGGGACACTTTTGGCCCCGAACAGGACCGAAAAAATCCCCAACATGGGTGAAACTGTTCTGGTAGTGCCCATGTCCTGCTGTCGTATGCAGGGCCAGGTGGAGAGATTGAAATTCAACAATCTCAACCAATGCGTCAAGAATGACTCCAGTGAAATCAACCAAGATGTTATATTTATTTGTTTCTTCTTTTTTTCTCATTAATCTTATATTTTCTCAATTAGTTGGTTGTTACTAGAAAAGTTAAGATCATATCATGCTATTTATAACTTGAAACGACAGACGTTCGTCTTTTATTTGGTTAGTTGAGCAGCACTCATTGCGATATAAATTGGGGTCCTATTTGTAAACTACTTCGGTAAAAGTTAATTGTTAGCGTGTTGCTATTTAACCAAGTATTAATTCACATCACAAATTCATTAGTTAATTGATTAATTAAATAATTGAGTAAGAAATTAGTTAATAATTGAATGAAGATTAATTGTTGAAATCCTTGCAGGGTTGTCTGAATTCTCTGATGGTTTTCTACAGACTAACATCCCTCTCCGTCTACCGACTGTCTCCAATACTCATTGCATTCGAGGTTTCTTCGTATTTTTGACGATCAAATCGATTACATTAAAATAATTCAAATGAACTTTCTAGTTAATGACGTCTGGTCTGTTCTCTTTATTTGAAAAGGTTTACTTAAGTAACTCAGTTACTTAAAGATGCTTAGGGCGGTTCTCAAGGCTTTCCTCTTCGCAAAGTTTACGCTGGAACGCTGCTGACTTTTTTCGTTCTTTTTTTATTAAACAGTTTAGAAGATGCAGATCTGCTTACGGTCATTTTTCACTTACTTAAGCTAGATATAAACTTTTGTAACATCCAAGCCACTTTCATATTTGTTTGCACGTGAAAACAGCGTCATAAGCACGATGAATAAATAAGGTCTGAGTTTTGGATAGGATGACATTCGAATGACAACAAACATCAAAAACGCGAAATATGAATAATCATACCGTCGGAGCTAACTCGGGGCATCTACAAAATGATGTTTTAATTTAACGTTCAATGGATTGATTGAATATGAACTATCATTTGTTATCATACTTCAGATCAGCTTGATTGCATTTCAACTGAAACTCGCCTACGACCTGGCAACATACCAAGTTATGGATTAGTTTGGAGGATTGATTGGCTCACAACAGACGCCAAAATTATCTTTATTTATTAATTACTGTATTTTCCTGCTTTTTCATTTGTAAACATTCGTCAAATGCAACTGTATAACATTCAATATAAAGAACCCGCGACATTTTAGCTTTCCGCAAAATTTAACCGTATCGAAATCCATATAAATTATTTCACATTACTGAGGCATTCAGCTAATGCTAAATTTGAACAAATGATTTATTTTATTATATTAACCACGCCTGCTATGGTAAAGGTCTTAGCAAATTATTGACAATTTTTCATTATTTTGACAATTATTCACAATCTTTCTAACAATAACATCAAAACATTGACATCAATTTTACTATTTTTTAAAAATACGCTGTAAGATAATAAAATGCTCATTTATATTTAATAAAGCGTAAAGAACATCACAACAGAGGCAGTTCAATTCCAGTCCTCTTGGAACTAGTGCATTGCAAACCGCCGCGTTGAAATCACATATACATACGTGAATCATCACGTACAACCTGTACCGATTTTGCACGCTTTCGACCATTTGTTTGGTTTCACACAACTACACCAAAGCTAATCCCAACTGCATACATATTACCACACCCATATACGGTGTAAATCCTTGCGCTCAGTCGCAAACATTTAATTACATTCAAATCAACAGGAGACAACAAATTTTGTATTTAAGGATTGACTACTAACATATTAAATTCCTAATTCAACACCTAAACACATTTGAATATCGACATGCCCAGACATTTATTTTAACGTATTTTATTTAAACAAAAAAAAAGCATTTTGTGAGAATTTTTTATTTTATTGATGAACAAAAACTTTCTAATAAAGAAAACTGTTCTTCAATAAGCCAACTGCAAATAATCTGTAGAAAAAATGGAAATTAAACAATTTTTAAGTTATAGCTACAAAAATTAATGAAAATCATTGAAAGAGCTAAAGGACATTAAAAATTGCTAATGAAAATACAACACATGACCAAAGTATCTTTGTAGCAGCTTATGAGAACTTATTATTTTTTCTATAGTAGTTTGTTGTAAAATGATGATATGATGACTATCAATGTCAATTCAATTGTTATGCTAACATTTAATCATAATTGAATAAAAAAATAAATAAGTAATAAATATTGTATACCATTCTTAGTAATTAATAATTACTAACCATATACATATCTGTATTGAGACCGAAATGCAAATGTGCATGTCGACAACCCCTTCACCTCAGCCTCCTGGCTTCACGTTCACTTTCCAACAGAGTTAAAATGTCTCCCTCTCTCACTGGCCCCTTGACATTTCGAATGATGGATCGATTTGTCTCGTCAATGAACTCTACACGGACCTATGAAATAAAAAACATTTGAAAAAAATACATGTCAGATGTGTTTTTGAAAAGTGTAGACAAGATTTGAAGAATTAACAGTTCCTCAAGATAAGGAGAAGAAATCTCATTTTAAACTGTTCACAAATAATGAGAATGAGCTTTCAATAAATTATATAGAAGCACCTCCAGAAACTAAACAGCCAGTAGGAATAGCAGTAGGAGTAGAGTAGATGAATAGATAATGATCAAAATCAGACCAGTGACTTAAAACGTTAACACTAGTTAGGAGTATGAGGTTTTAAAAAAATATTCATTTACAAGCATAATTTTACCGTAAAGGCATTAAAAAACAAGTTTGCAGACCTGAGTACACTGGCCCTGAGAACCTGTACGTCCCAAAATCTTGGTAACCTGAAACACGTTTTGAGAAACACGTGACGACGATTAAACAATCAATTCAAAATAAAATATACAAAAATTACAAAATATTTACTTAAAAATGAAAATAGATCAATCCAAAATTATAATCTAAATTTAATTACTTTTGCGAGTTTTATCGGAGCTGTCTTGGCGTCCATGATGAAAATATTTTCACGGAAAAAGAAAGAGGAAAGAACAAAAAGTTGTTACTTATAAACAAGCAAATACACAGTTACGTGATTTCTTTAGTAAATAAACTTTTGCTTTAGTTTATTAAAAATTGTAAACTTGTGAAAAATTTTAGTATTAAAATTATATTGTTAATTAAAGTTTTAAATATGCTCATCGTAATTTCTGAAAAATTGTAAACCTGGAGTTACAATTGTCTAATTAACCCAAGCAAGGTTATCGTCTATATATTTATATATAAATTACAATCTTCTATCTCAAGCTTATTGTTTGTTCTATGTGTTTTGCAAGAACGATATTGTAAAATAATTTACGATTGTTTCTATATAAATCAACATTTGTTTATCAAATCTCATTCGTTAATACTGCTTTCTGGATTAGAGAAACATCGGTAAAATATGTCTCGAGCGAGTTCCATGGAGTTAGGCGAGTTAGAGGCTAGTCCTGATTTGAGGGACAGTCCGCACATTCAGCTGTACATGGCCGATGATTCTGAGGAGAAGAATTCAACCGCGGAAGTTGTCAGTGAAAAGTTCGGTGCTAGCAACAAACGAAAAGCCAGAGAAATCGATGAAAAGTAAATTTTTAAAATTGGCTTGGATCGGAATTTATTTTATTTATTATATTATGTTTTTGTTTGTCAGTTTGTTTCTATTATTACAATATTACAACTACTTATACTATATTATATACTATATTATATACTATATTATATACATATACAATGTTAATTTCACTTCCTTGATTACATAATTTATATTCCAAATTAATCATTTTAAAGTTAACTAAAATGCTATCATGACCTTAGCATAAAATTTATAACTTGCTATGTAATTATAATATAATTGAATAATAATTGTTAAAATATACGTTATGTAAAATTAGCATTTGCTTTTATTTATATAAACTTTATTTCTAAAATACTTGCTCAGTGATATTATAGAAAGGTAGTCAAAAAAGTGACATTATGTATTCAATATTACAACTAAACATTTATAATAAAAATAAGCCAATAAAACTTTCAATTTTCAGCCATGATGATTACGACGTTCACTTGAACATCCAACCCCCGCAACCTCCTAAAATGTCTTCTTCCTCTTCGTCATTATCCCAATCTACGTCTGGCGGTAGGAAGGAGAAGAAATCGAGTCACCATCGACACAAGGAGGGCAGCAGCAAGTATGACGAGGGTTCCTCTTCCTCCTACTCTTCATCCCATGATAAATACTCAAAACATTCCAGCAAAGGTAGCTACATGAGTTTGTTTGCTTTTTATTGTTTTATACTGCTTCTATTAGTTCTAGTGTTTATTGTAATATTGTATTATCATTAATGATACTGATTACTATTACTAATAGTATTATAGCAGCAATGATGCTACTTCTACTGATGCTATTTTTTACTGTTATGATTTTCACATAATTTATTCTTGTGCAACAATACATGCAAAACTTATCTGAAGTTTGTTTCACATGAGTTAATATTTTGAAATGTGGTGTGTTCCTTATAATTGTTTCGTATGAATTAGTTATTAAATACCCATCATTAAGTAACTTGCTTATCTTATGAAACTTGCTTTATAATTGATCAGGTGATAATTTTAAAAATTTTATTTACCTAATTTTGAACATTGTAGCTCGCAGTTACAGTAAGTACAGCTTGCCAGTGGACATGGCTGCCTTATCATCTTCGTCGTCCTTGTCATCGAGGGATGCTTTGAAGAAATCTCAGCAACTGTTGGACCACGATAAAGATCTTGACGAGATGAAGAGGAAGAAATCCTCTTATGAAAAGTATGTTGCTTTGTTCACTGTTCTTTTGTTTTTATTTCTTCATTGCTTTTCAATTGATTTTTTTTTGTATTTTTTGTATAATTTTATTTTATTCTTTTATTTATTTATTTCATTACGTCATTATGTCGTCATTTTTTACTGCCTATGGTATTTATTTAATGCCAGTAACTTTTGTTTTTACATCAATTTTAGATTTCATGACCTAGACGCGACACAGCATCCAATTTTGATACTTCACTAATCATTAGTACTCATGTAATACATCCACCTATTAGATACAATTTATTAATTTATTTCTTCATAAATTTTATTCTTTGTTTTCACAATAATTGTACTATCATATTTCTTTCTCTAATCCCCAGAGAGCATTTAGCAAAGTTGGAGAAGGAGCGTAGAAGATTGGAAGTGGAGAGTCAGAAACATCTGGTGAAAATTCAGCGAGAGAGAGATATGGATAGAGAGCTGGAGAGGAAGCACGATAAACAGCGAAGTGACAGAAAACATACTACAAATCCAATCAGCAGTGGTGGCGGTGGTGCTAGTAGTATCAACAACAACAGCAGCAGTAGCAGCAATCATAAAAATGGCAGCAGCAGCAGCAGTTTTGTGAGGCATGACTCCAAATCATCCATCAAAGAGGATGAAAGATTGTACAAGAAATCATCCTTAGCAGCCCTTCCTCCTATGAAGCTACCATCCTCGTCGTCGTCGTCGTCATCGCAGAGGTACGATCTAGCCACTGCGTCGTCTTCGTCATCACATCAGCCGCAACAGCGTCAGCAGTTTCCCACTCTTTTGCAGTCTTCTTCGTCATCATCGATACAGAAATCATCTTCATCGTCGTCGAAGTTGCACAAAAGTAGCAGCAACACTAATAACAATCTCGCTGATGATAATAATAATGATAATTACGACAATGATGATGGTGGTGGCTATGATAGGAGGAGAGAGAAGAAACGAAAGCATGCGAATAGTGATGATACAAATGATGACAGGCGATGGAGAAAAAGGCCCGGCAATGATCATTACAACGATGATTATGCTAGCAGACGTGCTGATGATGCCGGCGACGACGATGATGATGAAGAGGATGATAATGACGTCATCATCCTGAAGAACAAACTTCTACAAGACAGTAAGAACAACAGTAACAACGATAGTAAAAAAAGAAGAATTGATGTAAAGAACAAAAACGTCATCACACAACATGATGATGATGATGATGGTGGGAACAACAATGATGATGATGATGAGGAGGATGAGGGGGATGATGGTAATCAGCAAAAAATGTACACCTCAGTGGAAGATAGTGACAATGATGATAAGACAGGTGAAATTTTAATTAATTTTCTTTGCACTTTGAATTTAAATAATTATTTGAATAATTACATTAAAAATATGATGAGAAATTTAATTTTTCTTCTCTTGTTAACCTTTTATTAATGCCAAATCTAGATATATCACCCATCGTATCAATCCTTTGTATATTTGCATATATTTATTAAATTATAATATTTTGTTCTTGTGTTGAAATTGATGAATTTTTCAACATAGATCTTATAATTTATAATAATAATCTCTATTTGCACAGCAAAAGTTCAGCTGCAGGCCAGCCAACCAGATGATCAACTGCAGCAGCCCTCTGATGTCAAAATGAAAATATCTGATAGCCCGTTCAGTAATGCTAGCTCTAATGACTCAAGTATTGTTAAATGCTGTTTAATTAATTAATTTATTTATGTATTTATTTGTTTGTGTGTTTATATATTATTTCGTTTATTTGTATTTATTAATTATTTATTCGTTGTTTGTATTTTTTATGGTATTTTTTTCCTGATGAAATTATTTTTACATCTTTGATATTCTTTCGCAGTTCCATACTTACAGCCACCTAAATCGAAATTCGACGATGACGACGATGATGTTGAAGAGCATGTCGCCAACCACAAAAACAACAACGACGATGACGACGACGACGATGACTCCCCACTAGGAAACAATATCGGCCACCATCAACTTAGCCACGCCAATTCAAACCACAGCATCGCTGCTAACAATCGCCAGCGTCATCGCTACGACAACAACGACGCGAACGGCTCCTCAGGCAGCCACAGCAACCACAGCTACAACAATAATAAGGAGAATAACAACTCGTCGAATCGCGAAAAAGCCGGCTCGAACGATCTAATGAGTGATAATTACGATGACGTCATTCATTACGGTGATTACGACACGCCGATGATTGATAGCCCGGAATCTCGCAACCTGCCGATCTTCTATCCAGCTCTGCAGGGCTGCAGAAATGTCGAAGAGTTCCACTGCCTGAATAGGATAGAGGAAGGAACGTATGGAGTCGTCTACAGAGCCATCGACAGGAAGACCTGTTAGTGTTCTCATTAATTATTTTATAAAAAAAATTATTATTCAATATTTATTCATTTATTATTAGTATTTATTATTATTATTATTATTTATTTAATTCTTGTAGCATTTTTCTCAGCAAATTTATATCAACTCTCATTTAATTTTTTGAAATTGAAATCGCTTCTCGGCCTTTTGGCTAAGATCAAAGTGTAGTATCTGTTCTTATCAGCTTAATATCTGATACGCCCTCCATCGGGGGGCATCCATATTAAACTACTGTTTGGAAGCAGGAGACTGTCTCGAGCATGCAAGGCACTATAGATGGAAGGACTACTTGTAGACCAAGGGGTTGGAGGTTTGGTACCTGGAATGTAGGCACGTTGACAGGAAGAAGTTTGGAAGTGGTGGAGGAGCTGTAGAGGAGAATGGTTGACGTGGCTGCATTACAGGAGATCAGATGGAAGGGTGAGAGTACAAGGTTTGTGGGGGCTAAAGGTGGAAGATATAAGTTGTGGTGGAAGGGGGATGATGGAACGGGAGGAGTTGGTGTGATGGTAAGAGAAGAGTTGGTGGGGGTGTTGGAAGTGAGGCGGAGAAGCAATGGTGTAATTGTGATGGTGTTTGGAAAAGTAATAGTGAGGGTGATATCAGGATATGCTCTGCAACAAAGTAGGAAGGAAGAGGAGAAGGATAGGTTTTATGATGATGTTTCTGACGAGATTGGGCAAGCGGGCTTGGATGAGTTTGTGGTGTTGTTGGGTGATTTGAATGGTCATGTGGGGGCGGATGCAGACGGATATGAAGGTGTACATGGGGGATGGGGATATGGTATACGGAATGAGGAAGGGCGTAGAGTGTTGGAGTTGGCGGATGCACATAGCATGGTGGTGGGGAATACCTGGTTTACAAGGGAACCAGCGCGATTGATTACATATAGGTCAGGGGAGCATAGGTCAATGATAGACTACATATTGGTAAGGGACAAACATAGGAAGTATGTGAAGAATGTGAAGGCGATACCTGGTATGTTGCAGCATAGTATGGTTGTGATAGATGTGACATCAAAAGAAATGGGGAGGAGGAAGAAGGATAAGTTTGTGGCAAAGAGAAAGACATGGAAGTTGCAGGATGCAGAGGTGAGGAAGGCATTTGAAGTGAAGGTGGCTGAAAATTGGGAGAGTGGTAAGGATGGAGATGTTTGAGAGAGATACAGGGACCGTGTGTTGGCTATGGCAGATAAAGTATGTGGATGAAGAGGTTTAGGGTATGGAGAAGGGACATGACGGAGGAAGCGAAGTCTGAGTATAGGAAGGCTAAGAAGGTTGCAAAACAGGCAGTGGCAACTGCAATGACGAAAGCATCAGACAGGTTAATGAAGGAAATGGAATTTGATGTGAGTTCAAGGAAAATGTTCAAAGTAGCAAAGCAGTCAATGAGGGATAGGAAAGATGTTATAGGGAATGAATGTGTTTGGGATGGGATGGATCTGGCAAGTTGTGCATAGATGAGGAGGAAAAAGCTCAGGTGTGGAAAGCTCATATGGAAAGGTTGATGAATGAAGAGAATGAGTGGGATGGAGATGTGGAATCCGCGGTCACACACGGACCTATAGAGAAGGTGACGATGGAGGAAGTAGAGAAAGAAGTTAGAGAAATGAAACTAGGTAAGGCGACAGGGGTTTCGGAAGTGGCGGCAGAACATATAAAAGCAAGTGGGCTGATAGAAATTGAAGTTATGATGAGAATTGCTAACAGTATGTTTGATGATGAATGTATACCTGAGGATTGGCGACACAGTGTGTTGGTGCCGTTGTATAAGGGCAAAGGAGATGTGAGAGATTGTGGGTCATATAGGGGTGTGAAATTACTAGAGCACGGAATGAAGGTAGTGGAGAGGGTGTTTGAGAGGAGGTTGAGAAGTATGGTGACAGTTAATGAAATGCAGTGTGGGTTTATGCCTGGTAGGGGAACGGTGGATGCGTTGTTCATGGTGAGAATGTTGCAGGAGAATTATAGAAAGAAGAAACGAAGATTGTACATGTGTTTTGTGGATTTAGAAAAGGCTTTTGATCGAGTACCGAGGAAGGTCATTGAATGGGCATTGAGGAAGAAAGGAGTGAATGAGAGACTTGTTAAAGCTGTGATGCAGCTGTATGAAGGGGCAAAGACAAAAGTGAGGGTTGGAAGGGGCATGTCGGACGCTTTTAGTGTTAAGGTAGGAGTGCATCAAGGATCAGTGTTATCACCGTTTCTGTTTGCAATTGTGATGGATGTTTTGTGTGGAAACATAATGGAGGGGTTGTTATTTGAGATTTTGTATGCAGATGATTTAGTCTTGATGGCTGATAGCATGGAAGAATTGCAGTTAAAATTTGACAGATGGAAAAGTGTTAAAAGTTAATATTGGTAAAACGAAGGTAATGGTGAGTGGGGAAGGTAGGGAGCGAGTGATAAGTAAAATAGACCCCTGTGGGGTATGTGACAGGAGAGTGAAGGCTAACTCGGTATTGTGTATAGGATGTCAGAAATGGGTGCTTAAGAGATGTAGTGGTGTGAGGGGGGCACTGAAAAAGGTGGAAGGCACGTTCAAATGTAAGAAATGTGTTCATGGTGTGATTAATAGGACGGACGCAAGGACGGGGTTGAGTGGTGGTATTGAAAGAGTGGAAAGCTTTGTTTACTTAGGGGATGAGCTGAATGCGGATGGAGGATGTTTGATCGCAGTTGCGGCTAGAGTTCGTGTGAGATGGATGAAATTTAGGGAACTGGGTGGGGTATTGTGTGGAAATAAATGGTCAGTGAAGATGAAAGGGAGGGTATATAAAGCATGTGTGAGAGCAGCGATGGTATATGGTGGTGAAACTTGGATGTTGAGGAGAGAGGAGGAAAGTGTACTGCAGAGGGCTGAAAGAGCTATGGTGAGGATGATGTGTGGGGTTAAAGTGAAGGATAAGAGGAGGAGTACAGAGCTGATGTCAATGATGGGACTGAATGAATACATTGTGACATTGATAAGGAGATCGAGATTGCGGTGGTATGGACATGTGTTGAGAAGGGATGAAAGGGTCGGGATTAGGCGAGGGTTGGAGTTCGAGGTTGAAGGAGTGGTAGGAAGGGGTCGTCCGCGATTGGGATGGAGAGAGCAGGTGGAGAAGGACAGCGTGAAAGCGGGGTTGTGTGATACTGAGGCGAGTGACAGATGTGGATGGCGTCGAGGGGTATTTCGGTTTCATCATAGGTAGCCAAACGGCAACCCCCGATCTCGGGGAAAATGTCGTCTAAACGTATGTTGTTGTTGTTGTTAATTTTTTGAAATTCAATTCAAACATGTACACCAGAGTAAATTTTTAAAACAGCTGAGATAGTCGCCCTGAAGAGGCTGAAGATGGAGAAGGAAAAGGAAGGCTTCCCCATAACATCTCTAAGGGAGATCAACACCTTGCTGAAATCTCAGCACGAAAATATAGTTACCGTCAGGGTAAGCGTACTTTATTTGTAATCGTTTTTTGGGGACAGCTTCATCGCACTGTTACTGCTTTTCAATACTTAGATTTTCAATATCTTGCTTGTGTGTTTGCTATATAATTGAACATACAAAAATATCTCATTATTGGATAGAATTCCTTAAATGATGTCAGTTCCAACTTGTCTGTCTAGACATTCACTTGCACATATGCCGTCGTATAATTATTATTCATATCATTATAATAATAATAATAATTTTTTTTTTAATGCCAAAACTTTTTCTGTAAAAAAAAATGTAAAGAATTTTTTACAAATCCCTTAGGAGATTGTAGTTGGTTGCAACATGGACAAGATCTACATAGTGATGGATTACATTGAGCACGACCTGAAAAGTCTCATGGAGTCCATGGAAAAACCCTTTCTCATTGGTTGGTCTTTCTTTCCTAATCTTAATCTCATTGATGACTCTTTCATTTTAGACTTGCGGAAAAGTAAAATATTGTAATATATTTGATCTAAAATTTATAATAATGGCGGCTATAATCGAATTTAATACCAATTGTTAAATTAATTTTCAATTTTATTCTTGAGATATCAAATCAGTTCATCTAGCACTACTCGGTCATGATATTGACTCGAATATGACCAACATCATTAGAATAACCAAATCAAATACCAAATATGTTGCATGTACATCTAACAGGTGAGGCAAAAACTTTGTTGCAGCAGCTGTTGCGAGGCGTCCACCACCTCCATGATAACTGGATCATTCACAGAGATCTCAAGACCTCCAATCTACTGCTCAGTCATAAAGGAATACTGAAAGTCAGTACATCTTTGATGTCTAACATGCTTACGTGTAAAACGGTAGCATCTTAAACCATGATTGAATGAAACTTCACTTAATTTTATTCTCATAAAAAATATTTAAACTATTATTACATTAAATTAAATTATATTAAATTTAATTAAATTACATTACATTCAATAACTAACTGAACCATACAGATTGGTGACTTTGGACTGGCCCGAGAGTACGGTTCTCCACTGAAGCCCTACACCCCAATTGTTGTGACTCTCTGGTACAGATCCCCTGAACTTTTACTGGGCACGAAGATGTACAGCACTGCAGTTGATATGTGGTCCGTGGGCTGCATCTTTGCCGAGTTCCTACTTAAGAAACCTCTCTTTCCTGGAAAGACAGAAGTTGACGAAATCAACAGAATTTTTAGGGTACAGTTTGTTTTTTTGTTTCATCCTTTCTTTGCTCTGTTTACAAAATCTTTTGAATCATATTCTCATTTATAAGTTTTAATACGTTATGTTTGATTTTAAATTCGTCTATTCACTAATTTATAAAATATAATTTCCAGGAGCTGGGATCACCAAATGACAAAATCTGGCCTGGTGTCAATGAATTGCCACTTATGCAAAGATGCAATTTCAGCGAATATTCATTCAATCTATTGAAGAAAAAATTTGAAAAGGTAATGTCCGAACAGGGCTATGATCTACTTAGTAACTTCCTCACATACAGTCCAGAGAAAAGGATATCGGCTGAAGAAGCCCTTAAGCATAGTTTCTTCACTGAGGTACCTAAGCCAGTTCCTCCACACATGTTCCCGACCTGGCCTGCTAAGAGTGAGCTCGTAAAATCTAGATTGCATGGAAATTCGCCGAAACCTCCATCTGGTGGCAAGGCATATGCCAAACTTTTGGTCGGTTTATGACTTTTTCATTTCTTGTTTATATGTAAAATAATGAAACATTTGTTATTAGTTGAGAGTTAACAAATTTTTTTATAATTTTGTAGATTGATGACGATGTGGTACCAGCAGACACTGGATTCCAATTGAATGCTAAGAATCAAACCAACGCATCTGGAGCTGGTTTCGTGTTGAAGTTTTAGCTGGCGTCTGACCAATAATCATTTTCTGTTATTGTTACACACAGATACTCTCTCACACACACACACACACACACACACACACACACACACACACACACACACACACACACACACGCTCATACGTAATGATTTTCATGACTTGTACACTTGTACAGTACTTATTAATTTTTTATCTTATAATGAAAATTTTTTTTGAATCTTATGAATAATTTTCATCTATTATTTTTTTTAACAAAAATATTTTTTGCACAAGCGTGATAGTGTCTCTTTGTTGTAGCTACGAATCGGTGACGTCAAGCATCAAATCAGTGCTAAATCACGAATACGTTTTTAGTGAATAATCTGTTAATTAAAAATCAAACATGCCCTAGTAAAACACATTAGATTTTTTTATGTCAATCACGTACATTATTCTAAGTAAACATTGAAATTAGATAAAAAAAAGATTGATTGAAAAAGCGCCTATCATGGACCTCATGTTCGTATTTATTTCAATCAATCAATCAATCAGTCAATTAGTTTGCCAAGCGCTATTTCCGCGATGTTCAACAGCGCATCTCAATGATTTTTGCAAACAGATGGGTCTCGAGATTCGCTCTGAACTTCGTAAGTGACAGAGTAGTCAGAGAAGGAGGTAGAGAGTTCCGGAGGAAAGGGCCAGAAAAAGCAAATGCAGATTTAGCAATGAGTGCTTAACACGAGTTAAGAAGAAGGGAGAACAAGAAGACGAACGTAAACCGGGGCGTTTAGGTTCAATTAATGCTTGTATGTGTTTGAATCATGTTTTGTATTATGTTTGTTTTTTGTATTGTATGCGTAATGCGTGCGTGTGCTTACAAAACGAAAACAACTAAACATGAAAAGGAGACAATACAAAGTTACCTACCTATTGTAATTTTTTTTCTAAACTTTAATTTAATTCCAGCCATGGCTTGCCCACGTTCAACTAACTCAATCCCTAGCATAACTATTGCTTGTTAACACAGCTCATTTTACACTTTATATTTGTGATTTTATATTACTAAAGTACGAAAAATTAAGAAAAATAGATAAATTAAAACAATGAAACCGCTAAGCATGTATATCTGTTTATGTGTATGCGTGTTTGTAAGTACGTACGTATGTATGTATGTATGTTTTTAACTTATGTATGTATGTGTTTGTATTTTGTGTATGCGTGTACGCTTGAATTATTATAAAACTTTCTAGATAAAAAAATTAAGAAACTGAAAAGCGCATTTAGTGAGAGGCCCCCTCGCCACGTCAAGGCAGCCGTTCATGAGGGGGATAAAAAAAAGTGCACGCGTCTCAAATTAGTTATATAAATAATCCTATCTACCTATTCAGGTGCATTAGCTAATAACGTCTAAGCCTCAACCTACCTATTTATTACAATTAAGCCCTAGCTTACCTATAATTACAAAACTCAAGAGCCCAATTCATTCGCCAATCGGCCCCACCCCACCACCTACATAATGCCTTTAGCTCCAACCTAGTAATAATAATTTAAACTTAATAATTTCGATACACTTACAACATTTAATTTACATTACAAGATTGTTTCTAGAATTACATTATTGCCCTTAACTACCTATGACATTAAATTACTCTAAACCTTAGTAATAATAAATCTAAGTGATGTGTTGTAAAAATGAAATTAGGCTCAAATACTAATATGTGTTTATGTATGTATTTGTGTGTGTGTAATAACGCTGATGCGTGTAATGTGGGTGCAAGAAGAAATAGAAGCGATAAACTTACGCGCCTACCTACGTTCAACTACATTAGTGTTGGATGTTTCCTATCTATCCTACCTACATTTAAAATTACCCCTATCTAACCTACCTATATAGCTACCTAGTGTAATGTGTGTGTTTGAGTGTGTTAAATGGCGCATCTCAAATAATTAAAAATAAAAATGGTAATAAGAGAGTAAGACCTGTATTAATAAAAATATATATAAATCTCTATGTAACCATGCAAACTACTACATTCAATAAATAAAAATCCCCCTAAAACAGGGAACCACCGCGTACCTGCTGAATGTTTGGTGTGAAACAAAACAAAACAAACACAAAACACAAAACGAAAAACACACCACCAAGTAGAGTAAAAGAATAGAAGTCCTTTACCCACCTATGTAACTAATTTACCTTATGCCCTAGCCTACCCATATCATAAATTAATTTTTAATCTCACCTATTTATGTTTTATTGACTTAACTTAAGACTCATGAAGAAAGAGAAAAAGGAGTAAAACAGAACATAAAATACTACCACAACAAACAAACATGATGTATGTATGTATGTATGAGCAACCGCTAAAGAACCCACCTAAAAAAATATAACATACAAACCACAGACAAACATACAAACCACAGACAAACATACAAACCACAGACAAACATACAAACCACAGACAAACATACAAACCACAGACAAACATACAAACTCTATATAACTCTATATAGCCGCGAAACTCTATATAACTCTATATAACCGCGCAACTCTATATAACTCTATATAGTAAAAATAAAAATATAATAAGAAAATAAATAATAAAAAATAAAAAACAAAATAAATATAAAAAATATAAACAAAAAAAATAGATATAAAAAAATGGACCAGGCGTTTGAGAATGTGTACAGGTTTATCTAGTTGAATTCCAAGATAATCGAGATCACTCCTTTTCTACTAAACAATTGAAAAATGAAAATATGTATCTCTTTTATTTCATTTCTTTTATTTATCATACTTACAACCAATTCAATCATTCACATCAGTAAAAAGTTTATTGATTTAGCGTTATTGGTTTCATGTCATTCACTAATATACATTCTTGATAACAGAGCTTCACAAACTAAATTGACGTCAACTAACGTCTTAGAAACTTACTGATTGACTGGTTGGATCTGCTGTATTTTTTTTTATCTAAACATATAGTCTTAGTCATTATTTGTATACATGGGTTCTAGATACTTCACATATATATTATTATTATGTAACTTCATTATAAAGCCAACGTTAATCTCGCGCGGTTCAAATTATTCCGAGAGAATTCAAAATATTTTGACACCACACACCTTACATCGCTTTAATTGTACAATTTAAATGTATAAATATAAAAATAAAAATATAGTTAATAACCACACGTATTTATTTAGTTAGTTTTGTGTGCATATAATATTTGGTAAAATTTATTTCATAGGAATTATACAGTGATTATACCGGCTAATTCACTATTGTATATTTCAATATTTTTTTACCATTGACGACATTTCCGCCAACGATTTCGCTACAAATACATGGATATAATACTATAATATATACATGTACAAATAGTGAAAAATGTTATATTGTATTATATAAATAGGAGCCAAGGACACGTCATTTCCGCCAACGATTTCGCAACAAAGTGTCAATCCTATTTTAACAATTCTTTTGTCAAAATCTTGTAGCCAGTTGAAATGCATATATTCAACATTGAAATTAGAGTTTGAATGAATAACTGAAAATATATTCAAGTAGATGTCGTCAGCAATCCTTCTTTTAAACATTTGTTGAAAACGATACTGTCATTAAAGTTATTGAACTATTATTAAACGTTATTATTTTAACGTTATTAAAATAAATTCCTCAAGTTTAATACGTTTCATAATCATGGAGAGTAATTTAAATTTAAATTGAAGCAATTATTCACTTGAATACTGGCCTGAAATAAAAACCAAAATCTGCTATATAGAAATTTGTTTATAATTAAAACTGTGAATAGTACCAGTTCTGCCGAAACATTTGAATACCATTTCACCGGTTGGTTGTTGAACGCAGTGGTGAAATTTTATTTTACTGATACGTTGATTTTGTCGGTGAATGAGATTGTGACTAATTTAAGAAACATTAATACATGGTTGTATGTGAATTATTAATGAATGAATGAATGGATGGATAGATGAATGAATGAATGAATGAATGAATTAATGAATTAATGAACTAATTAATAGATGGATGGATGAATGAATGAACGAACGAACAAGTATCTAAATGAACGAACGAACAAATAACTGAACGAACTAGCGTATAAACAAATATCGAAAAAACTAACGTACAAACAACATTTAGACCAAAAAAGGTCGTCAGCTACAAAAAACATGTTAAAAAATTCTCACTCCCAGTCAACGGGTCAAAAAATTTGCTATTTAAATAATTATGCGGCCCATCAAAGGTCAAATAGTTCTCAATGCGGCCCTTCAAAGGTCAAATAGTACTCAATGCGGCCCTTCAAAAGTCAAATATTTCACGATGAGGCCCTCACTGCAAAAAAGTTTGCCCACCCCTGTCCTTCATGAATGAGGAATTTTGACTGATGTTATTCATACTAATCAATATTACAGTAACTAATGTATAATAAAAAAGTATTACTTTTAAAGTTTATTCTTTTCTAAAACAAATTTGGACTCCAAGTTTTTTTGGTTGTAAAATTTCAAGAATTACGTTTGCTAAATGACCTCCTCAAAACTCCATGGTTCAACTTTGTTCACTTTTAATTTTTAAAACAAAATGTAAACAAATAGCCGAGGGTGTGTGCATTTGAGTTTCGTTGACAGAGGCGAAAGTTTAAAATTGAAATTTTAATCGCGTATTAATTTTTAATAAATTTTAATGAAAATTTTAACTGCATTGTTTTGTGTATTCCATTTATCTGCTTCAAATAATTCGTCATTTGTTTATTTTTCATTTTCAAATCGGCTTTAGCTCCAATTTTTTTTTCATGAGACCAAACAAAGAATTATAATTAAATTATTATATAATATATATTATATTAATTATTTATTAATTTAATTTTTAATTGTATAATAAATTTTACTTTTACGAACTTAAAATAAACACTGTTTAATTTTAATTAAAATTAATTTATTGGCTCTATCTACTAATCTAGTCACTTTAAAAAATTTAATAATATCTTTAATTTAATTAATATTTAATTAAAATTAAAGAAATTTTTTTTTATTAATCTTCTTAAATAATTAATTATGATTAGACTAAAAGAATAGAATTTTTTAGCCAACAACAAAACATACTGGCATAAAAAAGCATATTGAATTCACTTGATTCAAAGTTGTGAATAGTAAATAAATTACAAATATTCAAATTTCAAAATGAGTGGCAACAGCAGTAACATAAACATATTTACCAGGCTCAAAAACGCCATGAGCCAATTAACTTCCTCCACCACTAACACAAGCATCTTCAACAGCAAACAACAGCAAAGCAGCAACAACAATCCTAGCAGCAGTTCATCACCTCAGAACTCCCCACAACACCAACAATCATCTCTACCCTATGATATTAGTATCCAATCAGCAGAAAGATGGGCCTATGAGTTCCCCTATGTACGACCTCATTTTTTGAATTTAAATGCGGAAGAAGTTTCAGCAGCCAACAACACTATGGTTCGTCCTGTCATCGTGCCGAAAAGAATAAACAAAATGCCCATGTGCGCTGGATATGCAGAGTAATTCATTCATAAAATTTTCTCATTTTTCTTATAACAATGTTTTAATTTTTTATTGATTGTCAATAGTTATTATTTTTACCAAACATTTAATATGATATAGTTATAACACAATGAGATAAAATCGGGCGTTGTTTAGTATAAAAAATTTTGTTCATATATTTGAAATACGAAACAATCATTATTTAACTAACGATTATTATTTTAAAAAAATAGTTATTATTTAAATAACTAATGTTCTAAAAATATTTTCCTCTCTAACACCCAACTCAATCTCAGATGCATGAACGCTCATAAAACAATTTACAACGAGGACCAAGCTACTGCTCTTATAATGGACTTGAATACAGGTCATTTACATATTAATATATTATATTACTTACATATAATTTATGCTAATTACATATAATTTATGCTAATTACATATAATTTATGTTAATTGTGTTAGTTTATGCTAATTACACATAATAGGCCAATTAATTGCATTAGTTTATGCTGCTAATTACATTATTTTATTTTATTTATAATTTATTTATGAACATTAGTAAATGTCATTAAATATATATACATATATTTTTAGAAACAAATTTGTTTGACAGGCAATAAAATAATCGATCCCACCGACAAACAAAAGTCCCAAACCGATCTCGAGATGTTCACCTACTTCGCCATCTTTGACGGCCATGACGGGGCCGCGGCCGCCATTTTAGCTTCCAAGTATCTACATTTCATAATCAGGGTTAGGGTTTTTTTTTCTTCATCAACATTTTTCTCCATCTTGATGGAGAATTGAAGTCTTTTTAGATCGTGAATGATTTGTTGTTTGTAGTTATTGTTATTGTTGTCCTGGTTATGACATTAAACTGACCCTCACTGCCTTGTGAGTGATGTTGGATCATCAAAGGCTAGGCTCACCGTTTATAACTGTGGTTGCGTAAGGAAAGGCGTCCTGCGTAAAAATTAGCCAAATAAATTACTTATGATGGAATGGCGTCGAGGGGTATTTCGGTTTCATCATAGGTAGCCAAACAGCAACCCCCGATCTCGGGGAAAATGTCGTCTAAACGTGTGTTGTTGTTATTGTTTATTGTTATTGTTAACATTGTTGTTTTTATCATTAGTTGTAATGTTATTATTGTTATAAGTGTTGTTGTTGTTATTGTTGTTATCTTCATTCTTCAGGATAATTTAGCCTGCATATTGCCTGATCTGAAAGCATCTTTCAATAGCGTCATCAGTGTTGACTGCAATTTAAACGACAGTATGAACAAGAATGATGTAAGCAAAAATTCTGACGTCAACAATGCAACAAACATCAACAACAACAACAACAAAACCATTAACAACAACATCAACAACAACAATATTAATAATGATGATTTTGGCAATGTGCCAGCAATTATCTCTGATCAGAATAGAAATTTCCCTGGTACTTATGACTATAGTAATAACAACAACAAAAACAATAATAATAACAATAATTATATTAATAACAACAGTAAAAATGATGATGATGATGCTGCTGCTGTTGAGAAAGTAGAAGATGATGATGATGATGATGGATATAATCATTCCAAAAACAACTGGGGTAATAAAGCAAACATTACTAATAATAGTAATAACAATAATAACAACAATAGTAGTAGTAGTAGTAGTAGTAATAATAATAATAATAATGATGATGACATTAATAAACCTCTCAACTTTGTGCATACATCCACGCAGACAGACACCTATCTATTGAAATCTTTTATTGAAACTTATAACAATAACATCTATGACAGTAACAACGATAACAATAACAACAACAATAACAACAACAACAATAGCGACAACAACAATAACAATAACAATAATAGCCTTGTTGAGCACAACATCTATGGTGACAGCAGTATTAGCAATGCCATCAAAAGCTGCAGAAGTAACGGTGACATCAATAACACAAACAACATTTCAGACAAAAACAATACAAACAACAACAACTCACACAACACAAACAACATCAATAGTAGTAAAGTTATCCCAAATGAATTACCTGCTTATCGTTGGTCGATGATGTCACGTGAACAAAAGACACCAACTTTCGTTGATATGGTTGTTGGTGCCATCGAAGTATCATTCATGGAGATGGTTAGTTGATTGGACGAACGGTGGTTGGTTGGTTGAAATATTGAATGATTGATTTTTTTGTAATGATTAATTAATAATTATTATTAATAATTAATTAATAATTATTTGTAATGATTGATTAACTAAGTAAATGAATGAACGAATGAATGGTTGATTGATTTATTTTAGAGTAGAGATTGACCAAAGGTTCGGTTCCGACCGAATAATCTCGTTTCACCGGAGTTTCGGTTTCAACGTCGGTCAGGCTGATACTTATTCTCATAAATTTCTAAACAGTAACTTTTTCATTGCGTACATCAGTGTTTGTGCTTTCAATTCAAAGTAGGAGTTGAGTTGAATGTATTAAGTTACACAGAACGATAGTGGTAGATCTGATTTACTCAAAACCAACTGTAGTCGGATTTAACCGGGTTTAAAAGAAGTTAGAAACACAAATCTGGCCGGAACCCTTACCAAAGTCGAATTTGTTCATTTGTTACATTTTAGTACATAACTGGCACTAGTGACTGCTTCAGCTTGCCAGCACTAGTCTCAAACCCGGCATGAAACTTGGCTATATTACGTTCCTATCAATATTATTACTCAATTAATTAACTTACATTTATTATAAATTTTATTCATACCTCTTTGTTGACTTCTGCAAACACTCTTATATACAAACAAAACGTACACAAGGAAGCTAACATACTTTAAAACATAAGTATATAATGAAAACATGTACGATTATGCAAGCATCATTTGTGTTAACACACTTTGAAAGACAAATTTCAATGCTAAAGATAAATGCTTGATGTTAATTTAATGTCTGGTAATTTAAAAGTAATTAAGATACTCAAGATAGTAACATCCATCAATTAGATGGTCCAAGCGAGATCATACAGTGGTAATTCTTCTTACTTTCATACACAGCATTCATTCATAACAGTAGTCTAAGATTTTTCAATCTTGAATAACAGAAATATGTACCTATATACTTTAATAATAATTTTTGTAATATATTAAAATATTTTTCTGATGAATTATCGCTTGTTTTATTTTTGCTGGATTTCTGACTCGGTTAAAACTCTGCTACGTATCTATGTTATGTATGGTCCATGTTCTAATTTTTCTAGAAATTTTTGACCGAAACTTCGATGATGGCCGAAAATTTGGATTCGGTGGAAACCAATTCTCTGGTTTTAGTCGGGCACTAATTTGATTGATTGATTGATTGAATGAGTGATCGAGTGAATCATTAAATGAATTTTATGAATGAGTGAGTGAATGATGATGACGGTGATGATAATTGTTATTATTATTAAGGATGAAAAGTTGAAGGTGTTACTGAAGGAGGGCCGCAGTGGTTGCGCGGTCATCGCGGCCATCCTGTTCGGTGGTCACCTCTTTGTGGCCAACGCCGGCGATTGTAGGTTTGTATCTGTCGTTGTATCTGTCATTGTATCTGCCATTGTATCTGTCGTTGTATCTGTCGTTACTCATTAGTACTGTTGATATCATCTGTTTTCATTGCTGCAATTATTTTCAAAATCATAACCGTCACAATCATGAACGTTGTTTTCGTGGTCTACGTCATCGTATTCATCACCGTAATCATCACCATCATCGCCGTAATCATCGTTATCATAATCATGATCAGGGCAGTTCTTAAGTCACGTGACCGAGTCATATCAGCTTCGATGGACTTCACTCCGGAAATGGACCAGCGTAGAATTCGCATGAAAGTCAGTAGTCGTGGTAATGATGATGGTGGTTAATATCATGTAGTATAAGGTAATGTAATGTTTGGTCGGCGAGTTAGCTCAATCTGTAGGGCGCCGCCACGTCTCGCGTTGCTATTACGCGATGGCCAGGTTCGAGTACTGTCTATTCGAAACTGAAAAACCATCTCACTCGTATGAAGAACAAAAAAAAATGTATAAAACATTGTAACTGTTTCCATCCTTTAATCTTTACCACGTAATGTTATTTCACTGTAATGCTATTTTATTGTGATATGTGTTATTTTTACATGTAAAATGGCGTTTATTGTAAATTTGTTCACAGGCCCACACTTGCCCTCATCTACTCGGGGACATATGGACTCCCATGGAGTACATAGAACATCCACACAGAGGCCTTATTGGCACATCCCTATTTTACAGGGACCCATGGATGAGTGGATGGTTGGTTAGGGATTAGTGAAATTTTCCACGTGTTGTTATATGTCATACAATAGGTTGATTGTATCGGAACTGCTTTCTAAAATTGATATTTTAGAAATTGAGTATATTTTTCATTGTTCTTTCATTTGTTTGTTCGTTCATTCGTTCATCATTCTTTTTTATTTCTTCATTTAATCAATCAATCATTTATTCATTCATTTATTCGTTCATCTAACCTAGCACTCACTCACTCATTGTGGTTATGTTGAAGGTACAAAAGAGTGATACAGCCTACAGATATTAAGCCACCTATTTTATATGGCAAGAAAAGAAGGGTAAGTTAATTTTCGATCATTTATTCATTCTTTTAATCATTCATTCGTTTGTTCTTTCATTTACTCGTTTTTTCATTTATTCACTCTTCCAACTATTCATTCATTTATTTATTCATTCAATCAATCCAACTGTGAATCAATCAACCGTACTAATCTATCGATCGAGTTTTCGCACAATCTTGATCTTCTTTTTAATTAATCACTCATTGATTCACTTATTTATCATCTCAATTCATTCATCCATTCGTCACTTCAATCAATCATTCAATCGTTCATTCAGTCAATGAATGTTTCAATTCACTCCTACAACTGATCGGTTACTCACTCAATCAATCATTCGTTTCTGTGATCAATCATTCACTCAATTATTCATTCGATCAATCAGTCGTTCTACATTCAATCATTCATTCACTCAATCATTCATTCATTCATCCAATCAATCTATCGACCACTCAATCATTCCCCATACATCAGTCGCGACTACTGCAGACAATTGGATTGAGTCGCGGGTTCGGCGATCATTCGTTGAAGGTTTACAACACTGACGTCTGCGTTAAGCCTTTCCTGTCCTGCGTTCCCGAGGTTGATTGGGATCGTTTTCTAGTGGATTAGTTGATGATTGGTTGACTGGTTGATTGACTGATGGATGAGTTGGTTGATTGACATGTTAGTTGATTGATTTGTTGATTGGGCTTTTGGATTATTGTTTTATTGAACGACTAGCTATTTGATTGGTTGTTCGAGTAGAGTTTTTTGATTGGTTACTTGGTACGTGGTTGGTAATTAGATTGACCGGTCATATTATTGTGGTACATGTGTTTCATTGATAGTTATTTTATTGAAATTCTCACGTACACACACACACACACACACACGTGCAGGTACGTTCGTGTTTGTTGTCCGACCTGAAAGCCATGGACTTTTTAATTCTTGCCTCCGATGGATTGTGGGATGTTGTGACTGAAGAAGAGGCGGTTCAGTGCGTCAACCATTCTCTCGCTAATGCTGGGTCCAATAATCCCAAAAGGTGGGAGATGAAACTGATAGGTCGATTGATTGATGTATATCGATTGACTGATTGGTTGAATGAATGAATCAACCAACCAATCCCAACCAACCAATCATAACCCACCAATCACAACTAACCAATCACATAGATACACGATAGCAGCTCAAGACCTGGCAATGGAGGCACGAGGTACAGACATCAAAAACTGGAACACGATTGACGATATTTCCGTTTTCATCATTCCACTCGATCAGCCAATCAACCGACTCTCAGAGCAGATTTGCACCACCCTTAATTCATCCAGCGAATCAGAAGCCATCGAAATAAATAGCTCAACCAATCAAAATGAGTACTCAAAATAATTGACAAGTTTTAAAAAAAATTAACTAGTTAACTGCTCACTCTAGTCATATATTTCTATATATGCTGTCATATATGTATACAAATTTATATATAAACATATGTTTATATATAGACACACATACAAATTTCTATTTTTGTATCAGTTTTACAAATGTTAAACATTTTGTTAAAATGATTTATGTTAAATACTATATATAGGATAAAAATTTTTCGCTGAAATCGTTTATGTATAATTAGATATACCTACCTACCTTACTACATTTAGAAGTGCATGAACTATACATCTAAAATTGACTGACTTGTTAGCGTATTTGATTTTTACATACATGTATATATTTATATACAGCCTTGTATGAATTCCACCGAATTGTTGGCATTAATCAATTTAAAGTTTGTCTTTTCAATTTTTCTTACTAGAATATTCTTTAAATTGATTAATGCCAACTATTCTATGGCAAAACATGGTACACTTCCAAACATATATTTATATGTATAGATGTGTATGATATGCACATACCATTGTTTAATGTACATAAGCACTTGATATTTAGTGATTTTATATACAAACGCATCTTTAATATGTAGTACGTACACTAGACTGTCCTTAATAGAGATAGTTGTATTAAGCATACTTGCTTATTAAAATATGACAATCATTATTTTTTTAAATAGTTTTGTTAAATTTCTATCAGGCTGAAATAAAACACACACAGCTGACAAATTGAAAAAATAAAAAACATATTGATACGAAAATCATGATGATTATTGTATCTTTGATACCGCCAAAAAAACAACTAGTATAAAGCAAAATAATACGAATTTTTTCATTTCGTATAAAAATATCTTAAAAATTAAAACAATATAAAATAAATGTTAATGCAAGACTGAATATGTACAAATAAAATATTACAATTAAAAGACCAGATATTTTGATTAGATGGATTAGCGATATATATGATATGAATATATATGTATTTCAATATAAAGAGAGGGAGAGAAAGAGAGCATGATATTTATAGGTGAAAAAATAGCCAAATCTGTGTAGCAATAGCAAAACATGATTGTAAAATCGAATGATAGTTAAGCATTCGTTTCATCCATTTATTCAAATTTTTATTTTGCTCATTGTTCATTCATCCGTTTTAATTTTTCATTTATTTTTTCATTCATTTATCTTTCAAACATTCTTTCATTCATTCATTCATTCATTTATTTGTCTGCTTTCAAATTAGCCGATCAAAATACTTTTTTAAAATTACATATAACGACATGCAAACATGCTTATTCCTTAGCCAGCAACATCAATGTTACTGGAATAAAAAAGCTCATCCAATAACATCAGAAAATAATTTATAACATCATCTTACAAGATGATCACATCAAGCTGAAACAACAAAAAACAATAGCACCACAATTCTCAGCCAATCAGATCACCCCTTTCAAAGAGTAGCCATATAACTTGGCCAATCATGTCATCATATCCTTGCTGACGTCCACTAATATTTTGGTATAATATTGACTACTCGTAATGTTCACAATGGTGCAGTTGATACTGTTTAAGCCATCCTTCTGAAATCTTTTCAGGCCACTGTACAACAACTTTGTACTGCAATTAATAATTATTTTATTAATAAATAAATTAAATATAAATAATTATATCTTTTCTTTTTAACCAATAAATCAATCATCAAACCAATCAATCAATCAATCAACCATCTATTAAATTATCAGCCAATCAACCAACCGTGTATTGAAGTCAGCCGGCTTTCGTTTGATGTGTTTGATCATCTTGTACCTGGCAATTCTATATGGAGGTCGTGTTATCCTCAGGCCAGCAAATAATATTCTAAGTATCAATCAATCAATCAATTGACAAATGAAGTAATTGATCAGTCAAGCAATTTATTGCTCTGTTAATTTTGTGATGGGAATCGTAAGTTTTAATGTAAATCAAAGGTTTATATAAAAAAAAATCTCATTCATTAATTGAAATTAAACACTTGAAAAATCTCCTTTGCAGAAGATTTGCATAACTTTCTGATGATGTATGTACGAGTACTACTTTCAGATCTTTTGCACTAAATAATACTACTATCTGTAAACTATGGCCTAGTTCCATGAATTATCATTGCCTACTTACATAAAATATCATGAATTTACCAACAGACTATGGCCCACATACATAAATTGGCATATAATTAATTACCTGTAAGCCATGTCGTCATCTTCAGCACCCCAGCCCCAGTACAAGTTGGAGTAGCCATTAACTGCTAGGAAATGTTCCTTGCGAATGTTGAGAACTCCGCCCACAAGCTCTTTGTAAGCCAATCTGATTGGTCGGTTGTTTTAAAATTTATTCACAAACTGATAATCGATTTAATAATTTTTAAATATTCAACACAACACAAGGTTAAATGATTAAAAAAACTACAAATGAAATAAGTAAGTAAAAAAAGTAAATAGACACCGACTTATATTTCATCTCATCTATAGCGACAGAGAGATGTTTGGGCTGGTTGGAGCAGGTGTACAAGTTTCGATCATCTTCCGGCAGCAAGTCGACATCATGAAAGATATAGCAGTGGAAATCGTTCTGCTTGGAAGCTTCCAGGAAGCCAGCATTCATCAGCTGGGCTTTGTTGAATGTGTCGTTGCCAATCTTTATTGAAATATTTTAGGATTTGTTTGATAGAAATTAAAATTTTTATTGATTGGGAATTAGAAAATAATGTAGTACAATGAATGTTATGGATTGGCAGTAAAAATATTTCAATATTTAACACTGATTTGTGAAACTTTTTAAACCTGAAAACTACACCATCAACTTTAAAATTGTACCATGAACCAAGCAACAGCTAACTTGTTCAACGACATAGATTCTATAATCAAGCAGTTGTCTCGGCAACATGTTGTGTAACAAAGATAACAAAACATTTAAATGGTCCTCTCTATCCCTGAAGGGTATGATGATGGCCACTTTGTGTCTTGATATGCAGTTCTTTGGTCTCCATGAACCGCCTAACTCAATTTTCGAAGTTAGGCTCTTGAAAAGATTTTCAGTTGTAGAGTTCATCAAATCATCAATGCTAATATTCATAAGTCCAACTTTATTTGAAAAAAACAGAAAATAATGATTGTATTTTTTAAATACAAAAATTATTTAATATGAAATATTAATAGTAACAAATTTTAGTTAAAAAAAATTGAGAACTATATGGCAGTGAAAGTGAAAAATATTTTACCTAAATCTTTAGGGATTTGGGAGCAATATTGAGGACGCGAACGTACAAAGAATACTTCATCATCTGTTGAGTATTTCTCAGGTATGTAAACACCATTCACCGTCACATTGTCATCATCGTTGTTACTAGCAGTGAAGTTTTTAATTATAAAGTTGCTTTGAAACTTGGTTACCTTCTGCTTTTGCTCCTGATTGCCTGTTGATGAAGTCCAATGGTAAGTTGAAGCTTCTTTAAAAATGTCTGCAAGTTTTTGAGCATTTATAACATTCTGGACGATCCAGCCGTTCATCTCCATGGGAACGACACTTTTCGACAGAGCGGCCCTCAAATTTTTGTCGAAATTGTTCATCTCCCGAATCCGCCTTTCGGCCAGCTGAGCCGCATTATCGTAGCGAACTCTGTGAACGACTAAAATTTGCGTTATAATTAAAAAGAGCAAAAAAAGTAAAATAAAAAATAAACCTAATTCTTTTTTGTAAATCATTTTATTAAAAAATATCTTGGTTAAGTTAAAAATTTTAAAAATTACATATTTTCACTTTTAAATCCGATTCACAAAATATAAAAAGCCAAACGCGTTTCCGCTTCTGCACCGAAAATTATTCTATGCCTTATGATTTTTACAAGGGGAGGCCTATTTACCAGCATACAACACCTTCTTATGGGTTGAAGCAGGGATAAGCAAAGAACCTCAATTTTTTCAACTTTTAATTATTTTCAGTAATGTCTCCCCTTGCTCCAAACCATAACTAGAATAATAGGACTATTCGATCTATCGGTCGGGCTATTTGTCGTGCTTGGATTGTTGGCTTACGAAATTGCATGGATTTTAACGAGCAAGCTAAATGAAATATTTACTTGATTTAATATGCTTAAAACATTGTAGTAATTCTATTTAATTTTAATAATGATTAATAGAATTTGGTATTATTAAATTATTTTTGTTAATTTGAATATAAAAATTTCTTTTGGTCCGGTGAAATCCGGTGGCTTACTGAAGCCGAAGTTTTTGGCTTAGTAGGATTGAGCTATAGTCACCCTTTTTTTTACACTATTCGATCATGTTAAAAATTGGTTTGCTTATGAAATAAACGGCCTAAATAAATCAAACTTGTCATTTAAACAACTATCTTCATTATATTCAATGAATATTTTACACTCTGCTGGTGCTCATAAGAAACTGGCTGCTGAAATCATACGTTGGCTTACAGCAGTGGCTTACAGGGTTTCATAGAACTCTTACGATAGCACTTTTTTGTACATATAATGTATTAAATAAATCAATATATTCATATCACAATTATTTTATTAAATATAGAAATTGCTTTTGCTTACTGAAGCCGTAGGTTGGCTTAATCGGATTTTTTCTCATGTATACAATACGAGATGAATCAATCAATCAAACAATCAGTCGGTCGGTCGGTCAGCCAGCCAGTCTGTCAGTCAATCAATCAACCAACCGATCAATCAACCGATCAATCAATCAACTAAATTGAATGAACCAAATAAACAAAAATAAAAACAAAAATAAATAAAAATTTGCAAGGCCTGTTCAAACTCGAACAAACAGTTAACCGTACAGATCTACAAACAATTTCGAGATTTTAGTAAAGAAAGAAAAACTCAGTAGTTGCTTTTATTTGAATTCATTCAAAAATGAAAAGTGATGGTTAATTAAAATTTTAAAATGTCAATTTTTTTTTAAATTCGTATTTTAAAAAACAAATATAACAAAATATCGACCGATAAAAATAATTATTATCCATTATTATTATTATCATACACACTACTTAGAAGTTCTCGAAGGATAATAAACCACGTAACATGAACATTTAGTAAGAACAGTTCACAACATATCATAATGACTAAATCAACATACCAAACAGAAATTATTTATACATGCATATATACAAAGTAAATCAAGAAATATCCAAAAATTATATAACCAATTTAAAAAAAAAACTAGAAACCAGTCAACATTTAATGAATAAATAAATAGACATTATTAAAAAGATTGTTCAAAAAGGTACAATTTAAGGCGACGACGAGAATAAAATGTAGTTTGTTTTGTTGGTGTGGTGTTGTGAAGCGAAAACAAACACATCACACAAAACTAGTAAGAAATCGCAAGAATAATAGTCAGTCACCTACCTATAATAAAATTACTCTCAGGGTCCTAGCTTACTTATAAACATTGACTCAACTCACTTACCTACAAATTTGTATTTCTCGTTTTAGATGTTTCAAGTATTTTATTTAACATATTTTAGCGTTTTTATTTCACTTGAAGCTTTTTAACTAATGTTAAGCCCTAGCCTACCTACAATTGTTTAACTCATCTCAGTCCCTAACTTACCTATGAATTAAATTAAGTCCAGTAAAGAAAATAGAAGGTTAAAGAGAAACATAACAACAACACCGAATGAATGGATGTTGTGTATGTGTGTGTTGTATTGATGTGTGTGTATGTAAATGTGCGGGCGCGCACTCTCCAGAAACTTCACTCACTACCGACGAACCTCCATTGCACCGACCATCATCTGACACGCATCGATGGAATGAATTTGACCGGATACTGAAAAATAAATTGAAAAAAAATTCACTAAAATAAAAAACAAGCAATTGGAAAATATAGGCAACTTATCTTAAGATAACACTCAATCTTTGTTCAAATTCGAGTACTTTCAAAGGTACAATGAGACAAAAACAAATTTACCTTTAACATTATCTTCGATTTGTCATCGGAACGATCATCATGAGACCACCATCTGAAACGTGCTGACGCCCACCACAGCCCACCTCTTATCATTCTGTAGACAAGATTTTATTAATTAGCGAAGTAGTAAATCAAGAACCAAAGGAACGAACGAATAAATGATTAACTGAATGATTGAACGATTGGTTGAATGAATAAATTAACTAATTAATCAACCAATGATTTAATGAATGAATAGAATGAATCAATGAATAAATTAACTGAGAAATAATTTGAAAGATAGTGATAAAATGAATGAATGAATGAGAAAAATAAAAAAAAGTAAGTAAATCATACTTCAAAAACCGTCGTTGTTGTTATCTTCGAATTGTAATCGGAACGATCATCATGAGACCTCCATCTGAAACGTACTGATGCCCACCACAGCCCACCTCTCATCATTCTGTAGACATTTTTTTAATAGCGTATTAGTAAATCAAGGAACAAAGGAACGATCGAATAAATGATTAACTGAATGATTGAATAATTTGTTGAATGAATGAGTGAATGAATGAATTAATTAATAAATCAATGATTCAATTAATGAATAGAACGAATTAACGAATCAATTAATGGAAGAATAATTTAAAAGGTTGAGTGATAAAATGAACGAATGAGAAAAATAAAAAACGAAACTAAACATTACTTCAAAAATCGTTGTTACTGTACTTTCCATTGCACCGACCACCACCATCTGGTCGGCACACAAAATACCATCCGAACTTCAGAGTGTCAGTCGAACAGCCAACGAGCTGATTCTTTCTACACCACCATCATCATATGTAAATCATCACGAGACCACCATCTAAAACGTGCTGACTCCCACCACTGCCCACCTCTCATCATTCTGTAAACAAAATTTTTTTTATTTGCGTAGTAGTAAATGAATGTTAGAATCTTAGAAGCAAAAAAATTAAATTACAAAATGAAAATAATGTCAAATAAATAAAATTTTAAAATAATAAAGTAAATAAAAACTTACCGTCGTCCATTCGACAAAGGCAGAATGTTGAATGCGGTCCGGTTCCTACGTTGTCCTCCAAAACAGCCCGTGTTGATGGAGAAAGATAAAGAGGAGTCTCATCAGAAAGCTTAGCGGTGCCTGCATCTCAAATTGCTTAATAAAAATAATCCTATCTACCTATTCAATTACCTTAACTAATCTATAATAAATTGTTAATGGTACGATAGTCGAAAGTTCCCCTTCATTCTCCCTCCTTGCACAGAGGTTCACCGACAGCCAGGGCACCGGATAGTAAACCATTGCCGTGCGGATAGTAGACTACTGCTTTGCGGATAGTAAACCATTTGCCGTCCGGAAGCCGTGCGGGTAGTAGACTATGGCCATGCCGCATAGTAAATCATTACCGTGCAGATAGTAAACCATGCCT